AAAAAGGCAATAAACACAGAAAACAAAAGCTTTTAAAATTGTTCCAATACAGTATAAAAGGGAGAGAATAGTAAGATACACATTGAAATAGCTTTTCCTAAGGTGATATATATGAGAGAAATTTGCAATAGAGAAATATTATGAACACACAGAGAAACAGTCTAAAAATGCACAATGAGAATATGTGTAAATGAAACTGTAAGTCTCTACAATAATGAGACATGGCCCAAAACATGTTTCCTTAATGGCAGTGGTCTATGAATCCCACGTAGAAGTCCGCTAAGTCTGAGAACAGGCCTTGGAGGATCCAAGAACTTCTAAAATTGTACTCAAATTTGGAAGTTTATAGTTTTTATCAAATTTTTAAACAGGTTTATGATCCAAAGTATACCAAGAATCACAGCTTAAACACACCCTTCAGTGCTTTTTACTGAAGTCACAATCATTATTTAAGGGTGACAGACTTCTTTGGAAATCTATGGAAAGCTATGTACTCTCCCCAAAGGAAATGCACATAAAAATCTTAACCTACAATTTTGAGACTCTACCAACCTCTCTCTCAATCGCATTCACGGACCTCATAACAAAGCTAAGGTTTCCTCCTTTAGTTCACTTTCAATAATTATAAAGATTCTAATCCCCTTTATATAGTGGATTAAAACAAAATACTAGATAGTATGTAGACTTAGACTCAAATTTTTTTTTTTAATTTAAGATTTTATTGGGGAATTGAGGAAGGGGAACAGTGTTGGGGAATTGGGGGAAGGGGAACAGCCAAGTTGTTGTCCTTCAATCTTAGTTGTGGAGGGCGCAGCTAGCTCAGCTCCAAGTCCAGTCACCATCCAGCTGCCTACTGGCGGCATGTGGCCGCTCTGCTCAAGATGCCGAGTTCAATCTTAGTTGCGGGTGGGTGTAACCCACCATCCCATGCCGAAAACTTTGTTACTAAGAACGCACACTCTAACCACTGTGCCATCCAGCCGCCCATCAGCAGCTCAGTTCAAGGTGCTCTGTTCAATCTTAGTTGCAGGTGGGTGTAGCCCACCATCCTATGCGGGAGTTGAACTGGCAACCTTGTTGTTAGGAGTACGTGCTCTCACCAGCTGAGCCATCCTGCCACCTGTTGGCAGCTCAGCAGCAGCTCAGCTTGGGCACAGCTCGCTGGCCCATGTGGGAATCAAACCAGGGACCCTGTTACTCAGAGCATGCGTTCTTAACCAACTGAGCCACTCGGCCGGCCCCTGACTCAAATTCTTAGTGGGGAAAGTACTGGTACATTATACTACTGAAAGTCTGGATTTGACATAATCATGACACTAATGCCATACATTACATATTACCTTATACATCTGACCATGTGAAAAATAGAATTTATAGGTGTTTNCTCATTTCACTGGACCAATCCAGGAAGACTGTGCAGAGGGAATACTGAACATGAGGGATACATGTGTGTATGTTTGTGTGTGCACGTGCGCACTCTCATACACACACACACACATTCCCCCACCATTTAAGAACCAACCGTTAGTCAGAAGGCTGAATATGCACTATATTTTAATTTGCATCATCATGGGATTTTACTGTATCATACTAAGTAGGTAGTTGATGAAGTAATAAAGAGAAGAATGGCAATGGTCCAAAATTATTGAACTGCTTTTCCTACCTGATGTACCAACAGTTCAGCCACTTCCACATGATTATTAAGGGCAGCCAGATGCAAGGCAGTATAACCATCATCTTTCTTCTCATCCACGATCCATGGTCTCGGTAACTTAGATAGTAAAACACGCATTGCACTGAAAGTCAAATTTATGTTATTTTGATATTTATATAATTTGATATTTAATTAAATAATTTTTTGGCAAAACATATTTAAAAAAACTTTTGAAACCAAATGAAAATATTCCTCTTTAAAAGAAAGTATGCTTTGGGCCAGCTGAGTGGCTCAGTTGGTTAAGAGTTGGCTTAAGTGCGCAAGCTCTGAATAACAGGGCGGCCGGTTCAATTCCCACATGGGCCAGTGACACTGCACCTGAACTGAGCTGTCGCTGAGCTGCCAACAGGTAGCAGGATGGCACAGCTGGGATAAAAACAAGATTACCTGTTCAGAGGAGGGCTACGCCCACCCACAACTAAGACTGAACTTGGCACCTTGAGCTGGGCTACCGCCCAGATGGCTCAGTGGATATGGACGTGCACACTTAACAACAAGGCTGCTGGGTTCGACTCCTGCATAGGATGGTGGCTACGCCCCCCTGCAACTAAGATTGAACACAGCACTTTGAGCTTAGTGGCTGTGAGCTGCCGACGGGCAAGCTAGATGGCAACTGAAGCCCTCCACAAAGAAGACTGAAGAACAACAACTTAGCTGCTCCCCTTCCCCAATTTCCCAATACTGTTCCCCTCCCCCAATTCCCCAATGAAAAAATCTTGAAAAAACAAAGAAAAGTATTCTTAGAGACGAACAAAAATTCAAATTTCTAAATCTCAGATGTATAGCCTTTTGATATTTTAAGAGGTAAACAAACTATCAATAATTGGAGAATAGAATCAAAACAGAATGGGAGTGCTACAAAGTGGAAACATTATAAGGGGAAAAAAACAAAGGGTTAAGAAATATATCCTAAGAAGGACACAATTTTGGCTTTGTGGAATCTCTTAGGCTCAATATGAATGGTACATATTAATAAAAGCATTAACAAAGAACAACCAGGTAACAATACCAAAGTAGAAAGAATAGTGATAATCAGGACAAATTTTATGTAACTGGCAGATTATCATGAA